AGTTATCCTTCGCCTAGAGATCTCAAAACCTTCTACCTTTATTAGACTGAGTTTTCTTTCTTGATCAGACTTTAGTTAATATAGTTCTGTTAGAAGGCTGTATTACTTCACTGACTCAGGATTTCTACTATGCAGATCCTCTGCCTGTATATCCTATTAAAATTTATTCCTGTAATATTATGCTACACTTCCAAGTTCTGATCAATTTAGTACAACTCAATTTACAGGGGTACGCTTCCAGAAACAGACAAGGTTTACTGTAACATATTACAAGGTCTAAAAAATTATTCAAATTCATCGATAGTAGGATTTGAACTTCAGATCTATTGCATAGCAGTCCAACAATCTAATTACTATACTAGATCGCCAGATCTGAGAAAGAATTTTTTATTAAAAGTTTATTAGTTTAAAAATTATTAATTATAAGTAAACAAAATTTTATAAAGTAATTGATATATTTGTTATCAGTGATTTTTTGTAACATCATGTGTCGATCTAGAATTTGAATTTTATAGATCTACAATCCATCAGTTTGATGAATTTTTATGAAGAAGTTTATGATTAGTGATTTGTTTACATGATTTAACTCTTTGAGGAAATCTTCAAAATGAAATATTTGATCAGTTATATAATTTTGTAAAACAAAACAACATGTAATATAAATAATTTTTAATAAATATCAAGAGAAATATTACAGTTTCTTTATTCAAAAATAGCTAATCTTAATAATATTCAATTTGAGAATGAACAAACTATTCATCAAGATTCTATAATTCAAAATAATCTTAAGAGAAAGTTTTCTAATCTAGATAATAAATCTGAAAGTAAATTACATGAAATTCATAAAAAATTTTATATAAATTTGGAAGAAACAAAACTTATTTATAAAATATATGAGCAATCCTATACTATTAACATTACTACAACAAATCTTAAAAAACATTTTGAAAAAAATCATAAAGAAAAATATATTGAAATTTTAAATAACCAGAGTTTAATTCAACAACAAACAAATAATTGAGTAGAAAATAATCAAGTAGAAGTATTAGAAACTGCTGAAACATTATTTCAAAAAGAAATTAACAAAAAAAGAAGAAAATATAAAAGAATCATTTTAAAAAATATTATCATTGAAGATGATTTGTTTAATTTATTTATTACAGGATTAGATGCAGAAAATATTATTATTCAAAAATAATGTATATTTTTATTATTATTTTAAAAAAAAATAAAAAAAGAACAAATTAAATATTTTTCATACTTTCAAAAAAAATCAAATCAAACTTTTTTCATAGTTTTAAAAAACTCATAAAAATTAAAAAACTCATTTTCATAGTTTCAAAAAACTCATTTTCACAGTTTCAAAAAACTCATTAAAAAACTTATAAAAATTAA